CCAAATTACCAGCCCTGCAAGGAAGCATGCCCAGAACTGTGATTCACAAGAATCATGGGTGGGCTTCTTGCGGGTAGGCAGTTTCATTCTCGACAAGCATATCTGCTGAGGAGGATGTCCAGTTTTCCGTTTGAAAAGGGTGAAGAAGAAGAGAAGGAAAGATTGGATTTATACCTCGCCCTTCACTACCCGAAGGAGTCTCAGAGCAGTTTACAATCCCTTTCCCTTCCCCTCCCCACAACAGACACCCTGTGAGGTAGGTGGGGCTGAGAGAGCTCTTTGAGAACTGCTCCTGAGAGAACAGCTCTGGAAGAACTTGTGAGTGACCCAAGGTCACACCAGCAGCTGCATGTGGAGGAGTGGGGAATCAAACCCAGTTCTCCCAGATTAGAGTCCACGCTCCTAACCACTACACCAAACTGGCTCCTCTCCTCTCAGAATTCTGGGCCAATGACAGTGAAAGGGGCCCCTCAGTGTGTGCTGAAAACCAGTGCGCTGTCCAAGCAGTGAGATCCTGCATAAAGCGTAGTGCCACTCCAAGACTCCAAGACCAACTAGGGATGAACCCATGTCGTCACTTCACCATAAACAGCTGAAGAATACTTCAATAGGAACGCATTCCTGGGAGTATGTTTTTAGTTACAAGCGCACTTAGCAGATAATGCTTCCCATTTGCTTGAGGGTATCTGTGTCTGCAAGTGGCGTTTATGTAGGAGTTTACTGTAGAGCAAAATAGTGTGTAGTGAGAGAGTCATGGCTGCCATCAAAAATGGCAGCCCTGTGTTGGGGTTTGCTACCTGTCACATGTAGGAAAGCTTGTCCCGCTGCCCTTATGGGTTTCCTGGCCCCTCCCCCAATCCACATCATTGGTCATTGCTTGTGGGGCAAGGAAAGGCACACCAGGGTGACTTTAGAACATAGGTGAAGTTACGCTTCACATTATGGAGGCGCAAACTCTCCAAGGGAATGTTGTTTTCACAAGTAGCACCATATTTCTCACTATGTCTAGTTTTCCACATGATCCCACCCACTGTGCTCAGACGTCTTGTTCTCGTGTTGTTGGAGCCTCTGTCAGAGCCCTTGAGAGGTCATGGTTGTCTCTAGACTGGAGGAAGTCTAAGAACAATGGATGATGGTAAAGGCTGAAGGAGTCATGGCTTTTTTGTTGAGGTTTTTCATCTCAAAGGAGAATCTATAAACAATGTTGTAAACCATATTACTTCATATTCTTTTATAAACAAGTTTAATTTTTTTGTGTGAGGAACAAACACAATATTATTTGAAAGAACTGAATGATTTGTTGTCATCTTCTGGAAATAAACAGTGCCATACAACAAAGTGTTCCCTCCTATCCTTTATTTACTCTTCATTCTTGCACTACACCTCTGTTTGTCTCGATCTGTTACCATTTTGGTTGGAGAATCTAGCTGTAGGGTGGTGGATTCCTAGGAGGAAAAGCAAGTCCTTTGATCTTTTATGTCTTTGTGTACTTCTGTATGCAAAGTGTTTCTTATTCTCGTGGGATTCTATAAACTGTCATAGTTCGGCACAAATTATCTGTTCAGTGGGAGAATCCAACATTTTATGAGGCCACAGCTCAGTGGCAGAGCATATGTTTTGCATCCAGAAGGTCCCATAAAATGGCCCTTGAATAGTGTGTCTGGATTCCTTCATTCTACATACCTGTTCACCAATAGGTGGTCCTGTGAGTTTCCCCCTCCATAGCTCAGTGGTAGAGAACATGCTTTGCATACAGAAGAGCCCATGTTCAACTCTTACCATTGCTGGGGGAAAACAACCCAATCTGGGTAGCAGAACTAAAAAAAGACATATACTGAGACCTTGGAGATCTGCTTCTAATCTGAAGAAACAGAATGGAAGTTTACAAAATTATGCATGGGCTAGAGAAAGTAGAGAAGAAACACTTTTCTCCCTTTCTCAAAATATGAGAACTTGTGGGCACTTAATGAAATTAATGAGCAGTAGGCTTAGAACAGGTCAAAGGAAGTACTTCTTCGCCCATAGAGTAGTGAGATTCACTAACGCAGGAAGTGGTGGCAGCTACAAGCATAGATAGATTCAAGAGGGGATTGGGGAAACATCTGGAGCAGAGGTCCATCAGTGGCTATTATCCACAACAGAGGGAACACTGTCCGGGGCAGTGATGCTCTTAATTCTTGGTGCTTGGGGGGCAACAATGGGAGGGATTCTGGAGTTCTCATCCCACTGGTGCACCTCCTGATGGCACCTGGGTTTTGGTTGCGGTGTGACACAGAGTGTTGGACTGGATGGGCCATTGGCTGGATCCAACATGGCTTCTCTTATGTTCTTACTGGGGTAGATGGACTCTGGGTATAAGACAGATTTATACGTTAGTAAGAATTGGTTTACTAGAAGAGAAGAAGAGAAGATATTAGATTTATACCCCACCCTTCACTACCCAAAGGTGTCTCAGAGCGGCTTACAAACTCCTTTCCCTTCCCCTTTCCACAACAGACACCCTGTGAGGTAGGTGGGGCTGAGAGAGCTCTTGACAGAAACTGCTCTTATCAAGAACAGCTCTTATCAGAACTACGGCTTGCCCAAGGTCATCCAGCCAGGTGCATGTGGAGGAGTGGGAGAATCAAACTCGGTTCTCCCCGATTAGAGTCCGCGCTCTTAACCACTACACCAAACTGGCACCAAACACAGGGATTTCACCTTATTGCTTATATTTACGGAGCAAGCCATTGTTTGGAAAAGCGCTGAAGCCTTTCCTGCCTGTCACAGCTCCACATTTTACAGCCACGGTTAAAGGAGGTTTGCAGCTTGTTGTTTAGAACCAACCATGGTTAGTGGAAAAGCACCAGTGCTGCTGTCAGAGTGGCCATGGTTATTTCCCAAAATGAAAGGATCAGGGGATTCCTGTACTAGGGGAGCACTGAAGCCTAGTGGCTGCCCCCAGTCGCCTAACCATGGCTAAGCGATCCAGGCACTGCCATATCCACTGCAGCCAGATTTAAGATTTTTTTAAAGTATTTTTTAATTGAAGAACTGTATTACTTACAACCAAAAAAAGGTACATAAATTGTATATAACGTCATCTAATGTTTAAACTAAATTATATCAATTCAGGCTTATATGTCCTTACGTTATATTTATATCTCTTTACATAAGCGGTGTTCTTTTTTTCATTCTTTCAAAACGATCATTAATTATGCATTGAAACATACATGATCATTATTGGCTTCCTAAATTCCAGCATCTTCTGTCTTCTGTTATAATCCGATAATACAGTTGATATACATTGGACTAGTAAGATATACATTGGAGCCCAGAAAACCATTAGGTCTGTAGAAGCTTACAATGGAAGTCAGGGGAGAGCCTTCTCCCCCACCCCATGACCTACACTATGAGAGCACATACCTGCTTGCTCCCCAGGCCTCCCAGCCCCCCCAAACTTTATATACATCAAGCTAATACAGCCAGATTTAAGGCGAGCAAAGAAAAGAACCCCAAACCTAGGCATTTTCGTAAGAAGGATTGCCAGAGGCTTTTGAGAGAAACCCAAAACCAGCCTAAGTGGGATGAGATTAAAAGACAGCTAGACATCATTGGCGTACATTTAAAAAGCCTTATAAATTGCATGTTGTAAGAAGGGAACGATGTAAAACGTAGATTTTTATTTTATTTTCAGTTTATTACCATGTATCAACTCATGTTGCATACTGAAAACGATAAACAAAATGTCCTATAAGCTCACTGTAATGATTTATGCCTGTCTAACTTTAGGCTGTAATGAAGCACATAATTGCTTTGACTTGTCTTCAGATGTGTAAATCTTGAAAGATTTTCCGGGGGGGCATACATGGTGCCCCCCCACTTTTTCTGCATGGGGGACCATCACAAGCAGCACCCCAAAATCTGAGCAGGGAAGGCCAAGCAATCCATGAGAGGGAGTTGGAAGGGAGACAGCAGAAAGTGATGGATAAGGGGGGCTGGGCAGATGTGAGAAAGTAGTAGGGCAGAGCCAGGCTGAGGCAAGTTGCACCAGCTATACCATTCCTGGTGTCCGAAGGCCAGTGTGTCTTCCTAAAGAAGCTCTGTTTGCCCACTGCTCATGTTAGTCATGATACCCTTTCCATGGTATGCAGTTTTATCCTCTCGGGAGCCTCTGCATGGTGGCCATGGGAGTTTTGCAAAGGATTCTGGGGCATGCTGTAGGGCACGCAGGCCTAATGCTGGCCAGGCCAGTTGGGCCTCATTTTCACTCTGCATGAATGGAGAGTGTGCCCTGGACTGCACTGACAATTGAACTGGGGGCTGCCTGTTGCGATGGGCCAGCTCCCTTTCCAGGAAGCTTGTCTGTCACAAGTGTGGTTCTCCTCGAGCCTCAATAAGAGTGCAAAGAGCCCCAGGAATGGATCCCGCTGATTCCTACCTGAAAACAGGACACAAAACTCCCATAAGTATGCAAAGTTTCCTGCAAACTGCCCTTAAAACTATGATTCTTTGGCTGGGAATTAACTGGACCTAAAGAGCTACTTTACTGTGCCCAAGGCCTTAGGCACGCTCACTGGGAGCTTTAACTTCACCATATACCATGTTACAGTCTACTTTTAAAAAAACACGAAGTGTTCGAAATGGATTGCCAGGGGGCATGGGGAGCCGTTGGTTGAGCAATACACATACCCAAAGTCCTCTTTGAGCCCCCAGGAGTAACTGTTCAGTTTGTCAGATTGTGGCCCGTGGTTCCGCTGCCTGGGACGTCTGGCTGAAAAGTGTGGATTGTCTACTGGCTGATCAGCTTTTGATTGATTCCACAGAAAGGGGCAAGCAGCGTGGATATCCTCTCCTCTAACCTCAGCCTTTCTGCAAAGCAGGGAAGCATCCTTTTAAGTTACATAGGCCACCACATAAGCTCTTTTGTTTCAGCCTTTTGTTTTCTTGGCAGGAAGTAGAATTCTTAGTAAGAAGTCTGCTCCAATATTTATCAGTGCTACTTTTTGGATATTTTTCAGGCTGCTACCCTTGTCCGGGGCCAAACATGAATCCTGTAGCTCTTGGAAGCCGGTGGCTTGCTTATGCTGAAAACAAGGTAAGGAGGGGATTGCTTCCCCCCCAAAAAAATCCTTTAAGACAGTCAATTCATGGATAATTCTGTGAACAGAGAGGGAATGTGGGCAGTGGGGGCATCTTTTTTGGCGGCATAATTAATTATTGCAGTGTGGCTCTTTACTATAGGGGTCCCCGATCTTTTTGAACCTGGGGGTGCCTTTGGAATGTTGAGAAATGTCCCCCAAAATGGCTGCCACCGAAGGTGAAGCCAAACACAAAACCTCCCTCCGCCTTTGCAAAAGCATCACAAAAAGGGGAATAAAAGGAAGCCTGGAGGAGGGAGGGAGAATGAGAAATGGGAAGGAAAAGAAGGAAAGTCGGAAGGAGAAATGGAATCACGGTAGAATCACCAGCCTCTGGGTGTGGCCTGATCATCTATCTGAATTACAACTCATTTCCAGACTACAGAGATCAGTTCCCCTGGAGCAGGGGTCATTTCCTGCAGGAGCGGCTCTGTCTCCCGGGGTGGCCTTTTTGTGTTTGCAACCACCACCCTGTGCCTAAATTCCAAAAGCACCCGCAAGCTCACAAAGGTCACGACCACCCTAGTTCAGTTTTTCCCTCCAAGCTTTCAGATTCTCTGTCCCAGCTCTGCAGCCTTGAATACTTTCAGACGGGATTGAATCTGGGGCCTTTCCACATGCAAATCATGCTCCGATATGGGGCTGCAGCCCTTCCAAGACCAGAGTCCCTTTGCAGCAGGGGTCATTTCGTAGAAAAAGAGGTGCAGGAGCTCATTAGCATAACTCATTAGCATAACTTATTTGCATATACCACACCCCCTGACATCATTGGACGTGTGTCAGAAGGCAACTCCCACTATTCAGGCTCCACTGGGCTGTTCTGGATTCCTAGTTATTGGGGGGGGGGGCGTGCAGATCTGACCTCGCAGAGGACCCGAGTAAAACTTGGTCTTAAAGGTGCCACTGGACTGTTTTGGACTGGGGGGCTGGGGGGGGGCTCTGCAATTCACCTGGTTGCTTCTTGCTCTGATTGAGGGCTGCCGGGAGTAGGGGGCGAGGCTTGTTGCATGTGCCCGCTCCTGTGCGCTCCCGCAGGAAATGACCCCTGCTTTGCAGCCTCCCCTGAGACTCTCTGCAATGTACAGCCCCCCCCCCCCCATGCATTCTGAGCCTGTCATGAAAACAGGCATTTCACCAGTAATAGCCGTGACAGAGCAGACAGGTGACAGGGTGAGAACCAGGGCAAGGGGGGCGGCTCATGATAACCAGAGGTCTGTCGCTTAGATCCTCCGATAGCCAGGCCACATCTTCTCATCATTAGGTTTCAGTCCCTTGGCGTCATGTGCTCTCCCCCCCCCATGAGTCATTTCCCTTCTTTCCCAAAAAATGCCTGTATACTTCTGAGATTCTGCTTCCAGATCCTCAGCTTGTCAACGGCTTTGTGTTGACACGGCACGAAGCCTTTGATTAAATCTGTTCAGATTTATTTGCAGGAGGGCAGCCAACCCGCTCTCCCCAACCCGATCGTCCAAACCTCCCTGTTTTAAAGTTTATAAACAGTAAGGGACTCTTCAGCTTATAATTGGAAACCAAAGGCTGAGAACATGACAGTCTGGGTGGCACCCAAAAGATTATTTATGAAAAAAACCCGGTTATGGCATCTTACTGGGTTTTGGGGGTTTTTTTTGCCGTCTGTATGGGGAGGGGGGCAGAACCTCGCACCCGCAGGAGATGTCCAGCTGGTTTAGAAAGATTGTTGTACCGTTGACGAGGAGTGACTTGCTGGCTCCCTTTCTTTCTTTCTCCTCGCAGCTGATCCGGTGCCATCAGTCCCGCGGCGGGGCCTGTGGAGACAACATTCAGTCCTACACAGCCACAGTCATCAGCGCAGCCAAAGTGAGTGCATTGGCTTGGCGTCAGAAGGGGGAGCGATTGTCTGCCTTCCCAGCAGAACAGCACTTCAACTCCTTTCTGTCCCTTCCCAATTCGTTATCGAGACCTGGTTTATGCACGCATCAGAACGGGGTGGTAGTCAGTAGAGAAGGTAGAATGAACCGTGCCACTTCAGACAGCAGGCGGTGGAGAAAAGGGGATAGAGACAGTTGTTGCCTTTCGCATCTAAATGTTTCTTCCGTCATGGAGCAAAAGGGAATTGCCGGGATTCTCTTATGTAGGCCCTGGCCCAGAGAGTGTTGGAGTGTGTTCGTTTCTGTCTCTGTCTCTATATATGTCTGTGTCATGCCGGCCACATGGCCATGGAAACGTCTTTGGACAGCGCTGGCTCTTTGGCTGGGAAACGGAGATGAACACGGCATCCCTAGAGTCGGATTCGACTGGCTTTCGAGCAAGGGAAACCTTTACCTTTACCTTACAAGTAGAGAATTAGTACCGTGGAGAGAGAGGCCCTTTCTCCCTCTCCCCCTGTGCCGGTTCTTTTTCTAGCCAGAAGTGTTTTGTTTAAAATGTCATTGGACCATTTAAAAGGGGCATCTCCTGCACACGGCCTGAAGTGGCGCTGGGCATTCTTCTAGCTTACAGGTGGACCACACTGGAGAAGAAACCCTAAAGAGCCAGTTTGGTGTCGTGGTTAAGTGTGCGGACTCTAATCTGGGAGAACCGGGTTTGATTCCCCACTCCTCCACTTGCACCTGCTGATGTGACCTTGGGTCAGTCACAAGCTCCGGCACAGCTGTTCCTTAAAGAGCAGTTTGTGTCAGAGTTCTCTCAGCCCCACCCACCTCACAGGGTATCTGTTGTGGGGAGGGGAAGGGAGAGGAGTGTGTAAGCCGCTCTGAGACTCCAAGTGAAGGGCTGGGTATAAATCCAATCTCTTCTTCTTCTTCTTCTAAAGGCGTGGCACCTGATCACTGAGTTCATTTCAGTCCATCTGAAGGCAGTGTCACGTCATCTCTTCCCTCCTCCACCTTCACTCCTACTTCACCCCTTCCCGTCCCTAAGAAGTGCCACTTCTCTGTTTCTCCTGATCAGGGGTCATTTAGGAGAAAAAGAGGTGCAGGAGCTCATTAGCATAATTCATTAGCATGACTTATTTGCATATGCCACACACCCTGACATCACCGGAAGTGTGTCAGAAGGCAACACCCACCACTCAGGCACCACTGGACTGTTTTGGATTGCTAGCCATTGGGGGGGGGGGATGACGTGCAGATCTGTCCTCACAGAGGAGGTAGAGCTTGTACCAGAATAAAACTTGGTCTTAAAGGTGCCACTGGAGTGTTTTGGATTGCTAACTATGTGGGGGATGCGCAGATTTGCGCTCACAGAGGAGGGAGAGCTCGTACCTGAAGGCGGGCCGGGGGGGGGGTCTGCAACTTAACTGGCTGCTTCTTGCTCCTAGTGGCCCAACTGAGGGCTTCTGGGAGCAGGGGGAGGGGCTTGTTGCATGTGCCCGCCCTCTGGGCTCCTTACTGCCGGAGCTCCGCTCCTGTGTGCTCCCATAGGAAATGACCCCTGCTCTTGATTTTTGTTATTTATAGTCCGTCTTTCTCCCTGAAAGGGGATTACACAGAGAAAGTCAGTACACGCAGTTCCTGCGATGTGTAGCAACGGGTGTGTGTGTGTCTGTCGACTCCCCTCTCCCCCTAGTGGTCCTGTAACTTTTCTTCTCCATTACAAATGAGTTTTGCACTGGCATGTCTGAAAACGTCAGGCAGTGAACCACCTTAACATTTGCATGTTTGCATTTGCACGTGTGTGCGCTAGAGGCAAGATACTCTCCCCATGTCAGACTTGTCACTTGTGGAGACTGGGGGGAGCATGACTGAGCAGCTCGGGGATCGACCAGAGGCCTCAGAATGTCCACGGCAGCACCCAGAGGACAAAGCCTCCCTCTGCAGCTGTCTCCCAGCAGCTTCCATCCAGAGATACTCTGCCTCTGAACATGGAGGTCCCATCCAGCCATCTCAGGGCTAAAATTGTTGATGGACCTGCCCCTAAGTGAGTCAGATATCCTCATTGTGTGGTGTAGTGGTTAACAACAACAGCGGACTCTGATCTGGAGAACCTGATTCGATTCTGCACTCCTCCACCTGAAGCCAGCTGGGTGACCTTGGGTCAGTCACAGCTCTTTCAGAGTTCTCTCAGCCCCCCTCCCATAAGTCTAGTCCATCTAAAAGAGCTAGAACATTAGGCTGTCAGACAATCTTAGGATCTCCTGGCTATACTTTGTATATTGTATTGATATTGTTGGAACCTGCCCTGAGCCTGTTTGCGGGGAGGGCGGGATACAAGTCCAATAAAAACAATAAAATAAAAAATATAGTACAAACAATGCCATATGATAATTTCATTTAATTTTAATTGCCCAGACTGAGGGCAGAACTGTCCAGAGTGCTTTTGTCACTTGACCTGCCTTTGCCAATCACAGTTCGCAACCTTGTTCCTAAGCCTTCCGGGTCAGGACCTCAGGCCAATTTCCCCACCCCCACCTCTACTTCTCAATCCCCTTTTGTCTTCTGAGAGTTCACGGGGAATTGCAAATAAATGGGAACTTCTTTGTTTGCTTATTATAGTCTGCCATTCTCATTAAGTTTCAAGGCGAGCTACCTAATGTCAGTCAATGCAATCAATAGGATGAGACCTCTAATAAGCAATATAGTAGGACTAAAAAGGTAAAGGTAAAAGTTTCCCTTGCTCGAAAGCTAGTTGAATCTGACTCTAGGGGGCAGTGCTCATCTCTGTTTCCAAGCCGAAGAGCCAGCGCTGTCTGAAGACTTTTCTGTGGTCATGTGGCCGGCATGAATAAATGCCGAGGTGCACGGAACGCTGTTACCTTCCCACTGAAGCGGTACCTTGCAATTCCTTGCTTTTTCTTGCAATTTCTAGCAGGTTGGCAGGAGCTGGGGCCAGAGATGGGAGGTCATTCCGTCATGTGGCGCTAAGGTCTCAAACTGCCAAACTACAGACCTTCCAGTCTGCAGCTCAGTGTCTTAACCTCTGAGCCACCATGGCCCTTATTAGGGTTACAGAAATCTGAAAAAAGCAAAAAGTGTTAGACACAAAATGCCCAACAATGCAGGGTAATACATACAGCACACCAATAGTACATACAATGTGCAGTAGTACAGTTCACAATCCCGTCCCTGTCCTAAAGCAGCCTCCTGAATCAGGTAGCCCTATTCCTTTTAAAAATGCCCTCCTAAACAATCCCGTTTTATTTACTTGGCCAAATAACAGGAGTGTGGGAGCCTTCCTGTCCTCCTCTGGCAGGCTATTCCACGAAGGCTACAAACTTAGTGTTGTTGTGTGGGTTTTTTCAATTAAATGCAGTCTGACTATGCTGAAGGATGCCCCCACTGCTGTGGAGCGTGTGGGTCCCTCCAGCTCTCCCAGAGCATTCTCTTCCCTGCAACAGCTTGGCGCGCTCTCTCAAACCTCTGTTTTCTCGCCAGCCTCTCCCTTTGCGAGACAAATGCGGTGGTTGCAATAAGAGAGCTTGCAAAAAGGGAGTTTTTTAATTGGTGGGCCGGAGAGCCCTCAACAAAACAAGGGCTTAAAGGAACCCACAAAGGGAAGGGAAGCAGAGGTCATGCCATTTCCTTCAGAAGAACAAACAGAGCAGGAAAGAAAAAGAAGTGTGTGTTTTGTAACGATGGGTGTCAATGCCAACGGAGCTGCGGTTGGACAGAGGGAGAAATCACAGGTTTTGCTTTGCTAGAGACAGATGTAGGTCTCCACCCCTGGAGTACTCTGTTGAACTTGTGCGGTCTGTGATAAATTCCTTTGCCATGACTGAGAAGGAGAAGTGCTTTGTTTCCCCCTTAATTTCATTGTCATTTGAACATGGTCACCTTTATTCTTAGGCACTGTCCAGGCATCACCTATAACCAGGGTTTGATTAAGGTAAATATAGTTAGCATGAATGCCCAAAATGCTGGTCACTCCCCTGACTATAGTTGGTTGGGATCCATCAAAGCAGGATCAGAAACCATGAGTTGAATCCCATGATCCATCAGTGGAAGGCTCTAATTATTGGGGATCCTTCCTGTGCCCCCCACCTCTTTCTGCCCTGGGAAAGTCAGTTCCAAGGGTTGTAGGATCCACATAGAAGAGAAGAAGAGAAGAGGCTGGATTTATACCCTGCCCTTCACTAACTGAAGGAGTCTCAGAGCATCTTACAGTCTTCTTCCCCTCTCTACAACAAACAGCCTGTGAGAGGTGGGGCTGAGAGAGCTCTTTCGAGAACTGCCCTTGAGAGAACAGCTCTGAGAGAACTTGTGACTGACGCAAGGTCACACCAGCAGCTGCATGTGGAGGTGTCAGGAATCAAACCCAGTTCTCCCAGATTAGGTTCCACAATCCTAACCACTACACCAAGGTCCCGTCCACACGAGGTGATTTGGGCCAGTTGCGGGCCAGTTCGGGGGCGGATCAAACCAGCGTGATCACACCACAACATCTGGGAAGCGTGGTGCTTCCGTCCCCGAACTGGCCCTTCCCCGCTCAAATCCGCTTCAAGTTGAAACCACCTACCTTGGTGGTTCAACTTGAAGCCGCGCTTCTAGCCAGGCGTTTGATCACCGGCGCCTCCTTGCGCCGGCACAACCCCGGCCCGGAGCCGAACTGCGCATGCTCCGACATGCGCAGTTCGGCCGGCTCCCGATTAGGGCCGTGTTTTCTCCCCGCCGTTTGATCGCGCCGGGGAGAAAAGGCGCCGTGGCCAGGGGATCCGTGGGATCCCGCCGCGGCGTCTCAACGTAAAAGCCGCGCCTTAAGAGGCATTTCCCCTGCCGTGTGGCAGGGGCCCAAGCTGACTAACAGCCGTGTGGGTCAAGAGTGTGCATGGAAAGGGGGGTTCCCTTGTGTCTGTGGGACTTCTGAAAATGGGAGAAGGCAGCAGTTCTGCCCCCTTTCCCCTCCTCAGTACAACCTCTGGA